TTTCATCCCTGCCTTTCATCTCTCACCCGGGGATGGAGCGCTGGTCGTCGTGGCAACACCCCAAAGTGTTCCAGCTCGTTGCCATGGCACCCAGAGATGCTCTGAGCCCAATCCCAGGACCCCTGCAGCCCCCTGAGGGTCCTGCCCCATTTTCAGCCCCCCCTCCTGCACCCCAGGGGTGCCTTGTGCCAAGCATGGGGCCTTCCCTCCGCACAGCCGGGGGGTTGGCAGGGCCGGGGGGGGTAGGAGGTGCCCCTGCCCCAGGTACCCTCTGCGCTGTCCTCAGCCCCGCAGCTGCGCCATGGCCATCGGGGAGGTAAGGCCCTGCAAGCTGCGCTGCCCTGGCCCCTTCCCCTTCGGCCCCCTGGTCGCCCCCAGAGCCATGGCCCTGGGGTCCCTCTCTGCTGGGGGGGGTGGGTGAACAGCCCCTTAACTCATGGGGACCCCCCCCAGTCTGTCATCTCAGCACCCAGCCCTCGCACCCCAGCCCGTAGCCCTGGCACAGGGGTCCCTGTGTGCCCCCCGCCATGGTCCCCGGCCCTCCTGTGGCTCCTGCCCCCACCTCTGTGACCGTAACCCCCTGTAGCCACGGCACCCATCTCTGTTGCCGTGGTGCACCTCATTGCCATGGTGCCCCAGTTGCCGTGGTGACCCTTTTGCCAAGGTGCCCCATTGCCAAGACGCCACCACCACCACAGCACCCGGTTGCTGAGGCATCCTCTTGCCGTGGCACCCCATCACCGTGGTACCCAGTTGCTGAGGGATCCCATCACCGTGGCACCCCATCACCGAGATGCCGGTCGCTGAGGCATCCTGTTGCCACGGCACCCCATCACTGAGGTCCCCCATTGCCACAACACCCCATCACCAAGGCACTCTGTCACCATATCACCCCATCACTGTGGCACCTGGTCCCTGCGGTGCCTGCTGGGGTGACACCCGCCTGCCCTGTGCCCCCAGGAGCTGCGGAGCGGGTGCTTCTGGCGGGGGGTGCTGGCGGAGGCATCGGCGACGCTCATCTTCGTGGGGGTGGTACTGGGTGCCTCGGCAGCCCCCGGGCCCCTGGCACCAGCACTGGCCGGGGGGCTGGCGGCTGGGGCGCTGGCCTGTACCCTCGGGGCACCCCAGGCCAACCCGGCACTCACGCTGGCCCTGCTCTGCACCCGCAAGCTGGGTGCCCTGCGCGGGGCCGCCGGGCTCCTGGCCCAGTGTGCTGGAGCCGTGCTGGCCTCCGCCGCTGCCCGCCTGGTGCTGCCGGACGACGCCAGCCTCACCACCAGGGTGAGTGTCCCTGTCCCCCTGTCTGTCCCAGTGACGGTGACGGCGTGCTGAGCCTGGGTTGTTGTGGCAGGTGAGTGCGGCGGGGACGGTGAGGCAGGCGCTGGCCTGGGAGACCTTCGCCACCTTCCAGCTAGCTCTGGTTGCCTTTGCTGCTGCTGACCGGGCAGCCCCCCAGGGTGGGCTGGCCCTGGGCAGCGCTGTGGCTGCTGGCACCCTGGCCGCGGTAAGGACCCCCACCTGCCTACCTCCATGCCGGGGCTTCTGGCCCCCACCCCGGCCAGCCCTGACCCCCCTCTCCCACAGGGGCCGTTCTCGGGGGGCAGCATGAACCCGGCACGCTCTCTGGGACCGGCCATCGTCACTGGCGTCTGGGATGACCATTGGGTGAGTCAGCAGCACCCCCAGGTCCCCCCTAGAGACCCCAATGTGGGGATGGGTGCCCCCAGCTGCAGCGTGGGACCCCCCACAGTCCTGTCTTCACCCCAGGACAGGGTTCTCTGGCTCTTCCCTTTGTTTGGATAGGTCCCCCAGTTCCCCCCAGGACAGGTCATCCTCAGCTGCATCCCCAGTTTGGGTCCTCCTGCTCCCTCCATCACAGGATGGGTCCCTCTCAGTACCCATCCTTGGGATGGGCCCCTCCTGGTCCCCCCATCCCAAACGTGTGATCCCCCCACAGCTCCCCATGCCTGGAGCAGGTTCCTCCAGTCAGTCCCCATCACTGTTGTGGGGTCCCTGGTCCCCCCATCCCTTGAGCAGTGCCTAGCATCCCCCCAGCAGCCCCTAACCCCATGTTCCCCTGTCCCTGGGGCACCCCGACCCTGTGTGAGTCCCCCGGACCAGCCCTGACACCTGCCCCCCCCCCCGGGGGAGCCGC